TTGATCCCTGCCTTGACTCCAAACTGCATGCAGAAGCCTGTCTCTCCCTGAATGAGCAGCATTGGAAAGTACTAATTCAGACAAATACCTAATATTTTACAGTGAGTTTAATGAACAAGAAGGCAGAAAATGCAGAGGAAAAGCAGACTCTCAGATGTGTTTTCTTCTAGAATATGATTACCAAACATGTGTTTTCTTTCAAAACTCCAGAGGAAGGGAGCATTTCTGTTTTCATCTCTTGTGTCTTTGCCTGCCTGAGTGCAAGGACTCATCTTTTAACATTGTGACTCAAATTTCAATTGCATTTCCAGATTATTAAACAGGAAACATGGTTTGTAGGTTGTATTATCACAATACCATCTTCTTTAGGTAAAGAGCTGTGACTGGATGTAAACATCTTTCTCTGACTTAATGAAGATTGTTTCAGAACTCACAATGGGGAAGAGAGCTAAAACCCAGCACACAGAAGCTGTCCATATGAGGGGCTGAGGACTATATTATACTGCTAAAAATTGGAATCAGCAGTTGTGCCTCAGGAGCAATTACACGAAGATAAGGCTCCGTAGCGGTAGAAAAAGAAAACAAGAACAGAGAATAACATTTCCTCCAAATGGAGATGAGCTAGGTGTACAGACAAGAAGATTCCCCCATTCCTGCACCCACAGCAGAAGGAACTCAATAAGGACCATTCTGAGAGGAGAATCCTCCTTGTGTTGGTTCAACCTTCTGGATATGTAGGGAAGTGTGGAGTCTGGCTGCCTTAAAAGGGTGAGATTACCTGAACGACTTTAGAGTTCGCTTTCCACCTAGGTTTAAAAAGGGATAGCCAAATTGCAAAAGGTAAGTGGCAAACCTTCTTACTGAATGTTACTGTGAAGTCAGAAGCAACTGAGAGCAGGAGCAGTGAATTTTGGCTTTCTTTAAGATTGACCCTCTGGTAAATGAATGGAATGGCATGAAGAAAAAGAGGGCAGAGCTTGAGTTAGCAGTCCTACTTTGCCCCACTTTTCTAACATGATGAACAAAGAGTAGACTACTGTAGCCATCATGAAGGAGGGCTAACACTTTTTCATCTCTGTCAAAGTTTTGTAGTATACACTTCTGGAAGGGCACTGGCTAAAATCAAGCGTAGGAGAAGAAGGCTTCCCGATATATCATTCATTAGCAATCCACTTCAGCACTCCAGAAACCATGAACACCTAGTCCTGGCTCCCTCGCTAGGAGTCCATACTCAGCAATTGATGCAATGCATGCCAACTGTTGCAGTGGGTGCTTCCAGCAAACAAGGTGGTAACATGAATATAGCCAACCTGGTTAAAATGTACAAACACAACAAATAAGATGCTTTCAAGAAATAAGAGTCTGCTAAATCAAGTTCCACTATCAGACAACCTGTAAGGAGTAAAACTAATTAAACTAAAATTTTTTTGCCAAAAGTGAGAATATGTGTACTCTTATGCAGACACTTCAAATTTTAAGGTAGTTGACCATCATGGTTAATACTATTCAAAATGCTGTCAGTTTTCTCTATCTTCAGGGGCCTTTGTACTTTTTTGTCATTGCTGTCATTGGGATGAGCCTTTCAGCTTTACAGGGGAGGAGCACTAGGCCTTATACTCTACTTCAATTCAGACTGAAAGGAGCTTCCAGTTAGTGGTCAGGCAGTTCAGTGACCAGAACAGACAAATAAGTAGTTTTGATTATATGTGTTTGATAGCTCTAACACACAAATGATATCAAGTTTGGTTCTCTGTGGTGTATCAGGCCATGAAGTGACTCTTTGTGTGAGATATAAGTGAATAGACACAGAGAAGAAATGCAATTCCTACTGTCCAATATTTATTACCTGAGATTACTTTGGAAGCTGCAAAAAAAGACAGATTCACTAAAGACCAGCCAAATCACTTTTGCTTGTAACGTAAGTAACATTTCTGTCCAGATCTGCACGGATTTCAGTATTTCTGTTCCGGCCTGCGGGTTGTACCAGTCTAACGAAGCTCTTACAGGTTGAAATTGCATTCACTTCTTTTGTCTCTATAAGGGAAATCTTTACTGCACTCAAGCCCAAACAACTGGTTGTTCAAACAGCTTTGATGATGGGAGATTCTAGCTTTAGGTTTGGTTAATATGTTGAAAACGTTCTTGGGTTTTTTTCTTTGTTCACCTCTTCCATTTACTCTTTCTCCCCTTTCCTACCCACTATTCTTCTTTTTTTCCTTTTCCTATCTTAGGATTTTCACTCTAATCCCAGGCCATGCAAGGTCCATGTAGTTGGGAATTTCGTTCATCTTTACTAATTCCTGTTGTTGCTATATTCCACTTCATCCAGACTTAATCACATACTTATGATATAGTCAGGATTTAGGATAAGAACCAGTATTGAAAACAGCATAACTTTACATGTAATAAGATTTTAGTGTGTTAGCCTTGAACTGTAGCCCTCAAAAGTTGAACCTTGTTTTGTTGTGGCCCATTTTCTCCACACTGGTCAGGTGGCATGAAGTGTTGGACCTGGATGTTCTTCGGAATTACATATAGAGATGGACAGAACATACTACTTTTAAGTGGACAGTGCATAGCAATACAATGTAATGTTTTATCGTTGGTATTGATGTTTACTCCAAACATGTACAGAGGCTTCAGATTTCAAAATAAGTTGTGCAGTACATACAAGGAGATGGACACATGCTACTAATGAATGGCACTGAGAAACAAGTCTCAAATATAGTTCTACCTGGAGAAAAGAAACTTGAAATAATATTAAGGCTATGACTAGTGGACAAAAAACACAGATGCAAAACTAAGGCCAGCATTTTTTTCTTAACCTGGAACTTGGTGAAAAATAATTCTTCCTCCTTTTTTTAAAACATAGTTTAGAAATTTAAAAAACATGTTTAAGTCAGATTTAAATATAAAATATTTCATCTCAAATATCTTGACTGTGTATATTACAAAATAAACACACTTCCTAAAATTTGTTTCTTACTCTATCATATTTAAATTATCAACTATGCCCACTAGTTTTCCATACTCATGCTTTTTTTTAGTTCAGCCACTTTTCTTATTTGATAATAGCAGAAAACCACATCTTAGGCTAACATTTTGTGCTACAATGTGTAGCACAGACATTTGTTAATAACTGAAAAAATGTAACTTCTAGAGTCAGTAAATTAAACGGTGAACTTTAAATACAGTGAATGATCATATGTGGACTTTTATTGACTCTTTCAATACAACTAAGATGATGACTGACAAAGAAGGCAGTGACAGATACTGCTACTCAAGCCACGCTCACATATGTGAGCAAGAGAAAAATTAATTTAAAAAAAATCCTACTACACGATGACCTTATCTGAAAACCTAATTTCTTTGGCAGTGATTCAACCACCTAATGAATGTTGTCAGACATAATTAGAAAAAATACCGATAAATTTTACTTTATGTTTTATATCAAATTTATTCTTTGAAACTTGAAACTGCAGATAGTTCATCAGCTGACACAAGTTGTCTTAGGTCCACTGAAAGCAATGCCATTTTCTGTCATGAAAGGGTATGCCCCTTTTGTCTGCTAATTTTATAGATGTATTTATATTTAATTTTTAATGCCAACATTTTAAAGAGACCCCATAGCCTTTTGCAGAGCAGTAAGACTGGTGAGGAACTCTTTACTGTAATCCAGAACAGTCCACAGCATATGGCTTGGAAGGAATATATTTACTACCATTTACTCTCCATCCTTGCACTTGGTCTAATAGAGACATTACCACTCCTTGCAGCTTAGCCATGGCTTCTTTCTTAATGGCCTTTCAGAGAGACGTTTGAAAGTGTTAAATGGTGAGATATCTCTAGAACTATTAAAAATTTGCTGAGAAATTGGTTATATAAAGAAGTTTTTGTAAACTGTGAAAATAATGAAGGTGGTTTTTATTATTGCTTTGCTTTGTTTTGATATTATTAAAAAGAATCTTTAAGATATTTTAATTACATAATACCGTATATTGAAGTTATGACCTGACTAAATTTACTAGGTGGCATTCTACAGCCACATATTTTTATAACCATTCTGTGACAAGAAAAAATGTGTTAGAAATGTAAATACCAAACAAACTTTTCTGAAAGCATCTTACTTTTTATATGGTACACTGTCCTGATTCTTCCTTTATTCATTACAACATTACAACTTCCTTTATTATTACAACAACATAAATATTTGCATTGATTCACACCTGGATCAAGACATATCCACTGTTTTAAAATGGCAAAAATACTCCAGATGCCACAAGTGAGAAGAAAACAAAATTTTACTGGAGGATCAGCAGCAAAGAGTGAAAGTGCTTATTTTTTTATTCTCTTTGCTGCTCACTTAGATGGGCTTTTCATTTCCCTGCAGCACCTGTTGCCTTCTCCTCAGAAAATATAGGTGTAGTTATCCCCATTTTAGATTGAATCTACCTAAAAAAGTTTCCCAAGGAAGAGGCATTGCCACAAGTTTTTACCATCTAAGCACAGCCGCAGAAAGTCAGTATTCTCAGTACTGAAGTGGTCTGTAGATTTTCCCCAATTAATACTCCTTGTATTGATACATGTAATGTCAACATTCTCTGTAATTGACTTGCATGTCTGTGCTGTTACAAAGGCTCACAACGCCATAGCCAAATTTAGCATGTATTATTAAATAATATGATTGCTTGCATTTTAAGTATCGAATTATCAGTATGGTTTTTACCTTCCTGGACATGTCACTGAAAGTTTTAAGAGGTAGCTTTGCAGTTTGAAGTTAAGTGGTTTTGAATAGCAATGTATGCAAGCAAATAAAAGCGAAATTTAAAATTTTCATACAGAGTTTTCTAAACCTCTGCCACTTCAAAACATTTTTTGGGTTTGGTTTCTGACATCTGAGTACTGTACTAAGCATTGAGAATCTGAAGCCTTTGTACCATCAGTCAGGAGAGTTGACATTTGTACGAAGAAGGAAATAAATAGTAAATGGCTTTTTCCAGTTACATCAACACCTGGGTTCTTGTGTCGGGAAGCCGAAGTCCTACCAGACCTCCACAAACCAGAACAGTAGAAGCAAGGAGAATAGGGATTGCTTTGGTGATACCAACAAGGGAACCGAATATTAAGTTTCCAAGTACAGCTGCAGCTTTGCACAGTGCATTCAAAAAGCCAAAGCCTGTTGCCCTAGAAGAGAAAACAGAAGAAAGTTAAAAAATGGGTGAAAGAGTAAAGCCTTTGAGACAAACTCTCAGTGGGAATAAATCAGTATAGGCCCTATATTTTAAACAGAATTATGGCAACAAGGATTCTCTGCTTGTCTTTATAATAGGAAATCAAAGCTCAGCTGCTACAGCATTTTATTGAGGCAAATTCATTCTGCTGCCTCAGGGACCAAAATGTGAAATGAACGACTGAACAGGTAACTTTACACCTGTGCAGTAGAACAAAGGACTTGTAAATGGAAATTCAGTAACACTTACAATGCTGGATTGGGAGACAGAAGGTGGGAAATCTTTTGAGAGCTACTTGGTGATTTGGGAAATAAGTCACCCAGATAAAAGAATGATCATCTTGGGGTACTAAAGAGAAATAGATTTCTTACAGGTTCAAGCAGTGCTTTTTCAAAAGGATAATGAGACCTCCAAAAATAACAAATGTTTGTCACTTAGAGCAAAAGACAATAGGGCACAAAACAACCCTGGTTGGTGCAGAAGAGATATCTGAGAAACTTTGGAAAAAAGGGAAAGGAAATAGATTGCCAACTATTGTGGCATCTGGAAAGTACAGCCCGGGCAACTCTGAGTGGCTTTTGCATTGCAGTGCTGTGATTTTAGTAGTCTGGGTTAAGTATTTTAGATGTTTGGTAATCCCTGCATAGATGTATTATGCAAACTGCCATCATTTTAATAAATCGTGTTTTGACATGACTCCATGATTCACAGTTGCAGGAATAACCTTGTCCTACCAAAAGTGTCCTAACAATCTGTACAAATAGCAGAATCTCTGACATTTCTCAAATCTCTTAGAAGCAAAAGAGAGAAGGACTATGCAGATCTCACACTGTGCTGACTGGTATAAAATAATAAGAATCAGGAGGATAGAAACCTCTTTTCAGAGCAAAATGTTTCTTTTTTATTAATATGAAATACTGTCATTAGAAGGAAAACCGTCCCAGTCTAAACAGCACAGATTAACAGAAAAGCTAACGGGCTGAGTGACTAAAAAAGAGCCCTAGTTACTGTACTGAAGAGCAAGGAAAGGAAGAAGTCCTGTGCTCAGATGTAGCCTGAATCCCTAGGAAGTAAGTTTGAGAAACTTTTACTGGAGCTCCTACAGAGTAGCCCAGAGAATCAACCTGAAGTACGCAGACTTGATCCCAGCTGAGAGCAAGGACATAAACTCTCAGTGTTATTCATAGAACTATTTTTTTTATTTTCATAGCAGCAAACCATGGTATCAAGGGAGTAGAGATCCTCTCTCTCAACCAACAGCCCAGAGTGTCAGTAGTTCACCTCTTCTGCTCTTCTGCAAATTCGGCCACTGGATATCAGCACTATTGCTGATCAGTCAGGCCCATCGGCATCCTTATACTGGGAGCGAAGCAAAAGCTTCTGTCTAGTATAGTTGACCAGGACATAGGGGGTTTCAGGACTGTCCTATGTGTCATGCTGTGCTTCAGTATTATACCAGTCCTGGTATATTTGAGGACATGCACCAAAAGAATGATGGCGGTAGGTCTAGATCCTTCTGGTATGCTTCTAAATTGCTCTAGTTTGCTCTAAGAAGCAGAACTCTAGTTAACCCACAGAGCCAACTCCAGAATCTGAGCAAGTTTCAGAAATGTGCTAATTTGAAGTAATGGTACTTTAACTGTCAAATTCTTAAATCAGTTAAAAGGATGTTTGCAGAACAGAATTAAGACATGAAACAGACTAGGGTTTTTTCCATTAATGTTAAATATTCATTTGTCCATACTTGCAGATCAAAGTCAAACCTCTTTGCCTAAAACATTGTGGAAGTAAAATCAGAGCAGTTGGTACTTACTGTTCCAGTGTCAGCTCCATGTATTATATGGCTTTTCTGACCCCAGGACAAGACACAAGTTAGTTTGTTTTGCTGGGTGATTATAGTAATAATAAATTTATTATTAGTTTGACTATATGTCTCTTGCAATTGACAGTAGTGTTTCGGTCTCTTTAAAATACCTCAGATTTAGCAAAGTAATTATTATTTTGCCTGAAGTAATCATAATTCCTCTTTGTGCAAAACGTGGCACCAATCCAGATACTGCAAGACAATAAGTATCAGCGATATCTAAGGGAGGAGAGACAGGTCATTATGATGGCAGATCAGAAACTACCCAGAAACACTGTAGAGAGACTCAGATACGCCTCCTGAATGTTCAAAGCCCTTGCTTTTTTTTTTTTTTTTTTTCCCTAAATTTGATTAAGCCCGCAGTACTTTTACATACTGCTTATTGCCAAGAAAAGCTGAACATGAACGTCCTGGAGATAACCATCTCCAAAATTGCATGCTCTGCTGTCTTACAGCGCAGACCAGTTAGGGCTGCCTGAGAGCACAATGCTGAGAGCAGATAAGGAAACTTTGGAAGTGTTGCTTGTGGAGCTTTGACAGAGAAAGATTTGCAGCAGCTCCTTGAAAATGCCTTACTCAGAGGAGAAATGAGAAGGTTAAAACTTGTCTTTTCTAAGGCAGACTTTTGGAGGAATCAGTCCAAAGGAGGACCAGGAGATGCACTGAAGGAAGCAGCAAAGAGCCACCCTACTGGAGTAATTTTTCAAAGCCTGTAAGAAGATCATATCTCTACCACAGAAATGTCTGTACTGCAGGGGCAGATGAAACAGAGCATCAGAAGAGTATCTGGGGGAAGATGACCAGAACAGGGAGAACCTCTTGAGAGGGAAGGAGGTCCAGACTGGCGCATCTTCTAGGGTGAAGGAGAGTGCCCATAGGAAGGAGGAGTGTGAAGAGAAAAGACTGTGGTAAAACAAACTTTGTCACAAACAGGTAGGAAGAGGTTAAAGACAGCACAGCCAGCTCGGAAAACAGAGATTTTGTGATAGGATCCTAACAGGCTGCAGCTATTTTGAACAAGTCAGGGGAAGAAGGAGAGGAAAAAAGTCAGAACTGTTCTAACTTCGGCCTCGTTTACGCGCAGAAAGTATTTCTGAAGTTATGGTAGTGACTGGTTGTGATCAGTGTCTGCACATGTCAATACGATTTCTTTGGCTGCCAGTACTGACGTAAAACCAAACTTGCCCCCAAATAACAGTAACAAGAAAAAACAAGTGTTCACATAGAGAAAACAGACACTTAGTCATCAACAGCCTCAGCATATTCACAGAGATACCAGAACTCCCCAAAGAATACGTAGGTCTAGCTAAAGCAAATTTGGATAGATACAGGCAGGAAATCTTGGAAAGGCAATAGTGCAAAACATATGGGGATGCTTTACTTCTATTCAGTGCTGTTTTACACTGCCTTATAAAGGTAAGTTGTTTCACAGATGGTATTTGCTTATATTAACCAGTTATAACAAGAGTCTGAACTAATTTTCTGAGCAATTTTGACCATTTCTTTTCATGTGCTGAGCTCTACAGATAGCACCTTCAGGGCTGCCACTGTGATCTAGATCTATTATAAATTATATACCCAAGATTGCCGTATTAAGATTATAATGGTTTAGCCCCAGCCAGCAATTACTCACTCTCCCCCTTTCCCAGTGGGGGAATTTTATAATTTTATAGTAATTCATATTACTAAAGTAATTTCATAATACAATATCTCTCATATCTGAGCAAAATTAAGGTAATTTGTTGGCACTGAAAAACGAGTTCTGCTTTGTAAAATTGACTTACTAAATTTTTCCAATTGTAAGAAGTCGTTATTAGACTAGTCCCATTAATGTTATCAAACTATAAACAAAGAAGAGTAAAACAAAGTAAGCCCATTTTTACAGCTTTTGGCTGTCCTGATGATACAAAGTGAAAACTCAGCAGAAGTGCAATCTTTTGATCTTTAAGCAGTTTTCAGGCATGTCCTTTTGCCTAAAATATGCACATCATTGGCAGGAACAGTAAGATTTTCACAGGCTTAAGTAAAATATTGTTGCGACCTGTACCTGAAAAGCATTGTCACTGTTCAACCTTCTGCCTCCCTATCCTTCAATTTTAATACTGTGTTTGAATGTGAATTTGTTGTGTACTAGTAGTCAGAATGAAGTCATTGAGCAAATGGTTGAGCTCTAGTGATACCAAATTCAGACTTGTTGGGTTTTAAACACCTTTCTTAGAACAGTGTTTGTGATTCAAATAGGCTAAAAACTGTATTAATTCATGCCTTAATTCATAATTAATTCTACTGAATGAAGGGGAGTAAAAATAGCAGGCAATAAATATGCTGCAATTCACGTACATATACAAGCATAGTCTCTTGCAGTACTAATACAGTCTTTGCTACAGTGTTTCAGGAAAGTGCTAGAGCATACAGAAAGTCTGCAAATGATCAAAGATATGTGATGTGTCATCTCAGCATCATGAATGAATTAAGTGAAAAATTCCAAAGGCATAAGGCCATTACTATATACACCAATTTCCGTTATGTTGATTAGTTACTGGGCAAAGCACTGGCACAAAAATGTCTTTTTGACACCATGAACAATCCTTATTATTGGTCAAGAGAGTTAGGCAGTAATAATCCCTTGTCCAGCTAGAGAATGTCAATAAAACCCTCAGACACATCAGTAAGATAATGCTGGTGAATCAACTTGGGATTGCCTTAAAAAAACAAAAATTACAGATTTTGGTATTGATAGGAGAAAAAATGTGAAAGTCCTAAAAAGTGTCAGGTCTGAGAGAAAGCTGGATGTTAGAGAAAAGGAATTTTCCCCAATGTATTTTACTTCTGCTGCTGGGAAAGCTGTGACAAAACCCCCACTCAGCTTCCTTTCACCCAAGCCCCAAAGAAAAATGGCAAGAGTCCAAACAGTTAAAAATAGAGGAATTATCCAAGCCTTTAGATTAAAAGAGCTTGTTTCCTGGTTGCCACATATGCTCCTTCTTAGACCAGGTGCTTATATTCCTACATAAAATACTTCAGACCCATTTTTGCGTTGCTGATAGTCAGAGCACCTAAAAAGTTCATTGTCCTGCAATGGAGTGCTACTAAATCTGTAGCACAGATATTTGATAACCTTCTTGCCAGAGCTAGTGCTGAACCCGTCCAGCATTTCACAAAAAACTCTGAATACCACTTTTGTGGGTGTTGATAATATGGAAAGGCTATGAAAACAGGCATTCTGAATGTATTATGGACAATTTTCCAGACCTTTAAAAATCTTTCAAAAAATGAGTACCAAGATGCGTATCAGAGCCTGGCCTATTACAGCACGTGGTGTGAAAGCAAAACTGTGGAACTTGCCTTCCTGTCTTGGCCTACTGCCTGAGGCATCGCATTGGTCCAGCATGTCATTCCTTAAAAACATTAACATGAAATTTCAACAAAATGCTGTTGAACCACATCCACAGGATGGCAGTAGAAAATAGCTGTCAGGAAGTCTACTGTAAGTTGATGACTGCTGTTATGACTTAAAAGAACAGAAAACTTCTCTTCTGACAGCCACAACAATAAAAAGTTGGACATAAGATACCCTGTGAATAATGTTTATTACCCTGGGGATAGATTCTCAGGGCTCAAGAAAATGAGAAAAAGATAAATATAATGAACTGAAGATAGGTGACTTGCTTCTTAATTATGACCAAACTCTTATGAACTTATTTCTCAGGTATTAAAAAAAGGCAAAACAGGATGACTTCATTTTATAGCACACCTTGAATTCTAAATATTCTTGGCCAAGATTCAAACCCAGATGTCTGGCAGCTGTAGTAAAACTGATGAATTGTTGGTTATCTGATGCAATCTGACCTTGATTTACTCTGCAGGAGATGATCTATTTCTATTCCACTTTCTGTTTAGGTTTGGCTTATTTGCTGTGTGCACTCCGTAACAAAAGTCCTGGCTTATAAAGTTGGTGCTTCCCAAGTTAGTTCACAAGAAGATATTTATAATTTATGTGAAAGTAACAATTGCATTTTAAAGTCATAAAGATCTCCTAAATGTTACTTCTTCAGAGAATTTTAACTCTCTTCCATTCATTTTATATTACAAGTAGAGCTAGGAAACTGTGCAATGTTACTGCAAACCTCTTGGGCACATGCACTACAACACAAGCCATAATTACCTCATCACACAATATTTTGTTTCCACATGACTCTGCCAATGCACAGAACAAAGAGAGCTTGAGGGGTAAAACATAAATGTAGTAAAGAAAACTTGAGTTTCCCTCATCTGCTGCAGCAGCTGTAAGGTGTGCTGTGAATAAGGCTGGGACTGCAAGATGAGAAAGCAATCTTGTGGTTAAGGTAGTTGAGTGCTGTCAGGAGAACGGATACAGTGCATGCCCCTGCCACAGAATGCATGTGTGATGCAAGCAAGTCACTTAAAGCTAAGTGGTCATTAAGTACGCATGTCACATCTTCTGGGTGCTTGGCTTGGCACCTCCAGGTTTGTGTGGCAGAAGTGCTGAGCACCTACAGCTGCAGGGGAAGTTACACTTTCAGCCCATTCCCTCTCCTAAAATGCTCAGTGACTGGGGTTGTTGGTACCACACATGTCAAACTGGGCATGTAAAGTTAGTTTTAACAATATCTTTTCCCTCTGTGCCTCAATTTCTACATCACCTCCTTTCAAAGCAGTGTTTGGAAAATATGGAAAGTTTATGAAAGAGTAAGAAAGCGCTCTAGGAGCACCCAACAACGTTCACAAGATGTTTAATATCTCTCCTTCAAAGCAGAGCTTCCATGGTTATGGAATAGTTTGGTTTGGCCCTTAAGAGGGTCACAACCAACCCGAGACTTTCCTGAACCTGCTGACTGCTGAGCAGTCCAGAGTAGCAGAAGCCATTAAGAAGATAAGGCAAAAGACAAGAGAAAAGAGAAATGAGACAGAAGGTGAGTTAATACAAGTTCTTTACATTGTGGAGCTGGATTAATGAACCTGCTTGTTGGAAATAGGCTAGTTTATAGCTAGTCATCATGAGTGTCCTTTAAAAGTTCTGTATTGAAAAGTAAAAAACCATAAATAATATTATCAAATGAATATTTGTTAACACCATGTGTGTCACCTGGAAGACACAAACCTACCTATGACTAGCAGTAGTAATATATCTTCACCTTTTAACACAACTTCATCACCTACTCGAGAACCATTTGAAATCTATACAGTCTCTAACACCTCTTATTTCAGCAGTTGTGCAAAATCAACCGAGATTTTATAAAGAATACGCAGGCAAAACCTATGCTAATATGGCATAAAATTTGAAAGTAGTAATCTCAAATTTAGGACAAACTACTTAATTACCTTAAATCCAGGCATTAGTAAATTAAAAAGTAAATAGGTAGATGAGTGTGAATGCATACAGAACCCAAATCTGCTCAGATTTTGAAGAAACCTTAACTTTGCCCTGCGGGCAGCTGATGAAGAGGAAACTGAAATGTGTGCCATGTGTCATATACACTGCATACCTCCCAATTGTTCACCACACCCCTACCTGGCAAAAAGCCAGTATGATCCCTAAATAACCTGGAGTACAATTTATGAAACACCTTTTGTACTACCCTGCATGACACTGGGCAAAGCCCCAGTGGTTTGGCAACTGGCTGGTCTCCAAGAGGAGTTGCGAAGGAGGAAAAGGAGGGGCTGCCCAGCTGGTCTCCTGTGCATGGTAGCATGAAGTGGCCTCTTTCCACACACTTTTCTTCCAGCCCAACGTCCAGCTGCGCTTTGCTACTGGTTTGTGGTCATTTCACTGGTTGGGAGTAGGGAAAAAGTACTTATTGGAATAGTAAAACAGAGACAGTGAGCAAAGTTGTTGTGCCTAGATTGCCTTTTGAGGGGAAACTGGAAGCCAGTTTTAGGACCAGATTCACTCTGGATGCAGTGTTAACGTGAAAGGGGACATCATCTTATGCATGAAGGACCTTGTATGCTAAAACGGATCGGGCAGCTTCATCTATCATATGTGCCTGGAAAGGCTCTTCAGCCCTACAGCTTCTTGCAGAACCTGGGTATTCCCAGCAAACTGTGGCAAGTTGTACCAGGCTATGGAGATCAGAGGAGTCTTAGAAGGAAAGACAGGACCATCAGAGGTGGGCAATGGTGGCTGTTAAACTGTAGCTGGTCTGGATAAAAGAATGCCAGGGAAAAAAGCATGGAAAACAAGTTATTTGAGTTCCTGCACATAGAATTTTCAAATAGTTCTATGAAACATGAAGAAGATTTTCCCCAGTCTAAAAAAAACATGTCTAGGAAGTAACTTCTAGAATTGCTTGTTTCCTTATAATCCAGCTGGCAATAACTGGCAGTGATGGTTCCATTGCTTTTGGAACTTTAGGGAAAAAATCTCACCTACATTATATACCAGCAATGTCTTTCTTGGCACAGGTAGATACGGCCTATATGCCTTTTTATAATGGCAATATAAAGTGATAAGTTTTCTACCTGAGTAGTTGCAAAAATTCCAGCAACCCAGTTGCAAGTAAATTTCTGAGGTGGAATTCCAGATAGCTATTATTGCACACATAAACTTTTTAAAAAAGAACAATGGGGAAGAACTTGCTACAATCCCAAAGCTAGCAGAAGCTATTAAAAACAAGTATTAGCTACAAATACAGAAGCTCTAAAATAGGTATCAGTTACATTCCTTTTACCATTCCTAGTAATGATGATTATTTTTGCTTCCATTAACATCAATGGCTTTTCCAATTATTTTTCTTTACTTCATTTTAAGAAGATATTTCTGGTTGTTACATTCAGGAACACCAAAAAGATGGCTATTTCTAAAGGATATTTATTAGAATTACAACATAGAGTTTGGATGACGGAATAATTCTTGCCAGATGAGCAATTTCCTGAAGTATAATAAAAACAGTAGTGCTTAATATTAAAGGTTAGTGCTTTGGATCCGTAAGTAGCCGAGTATGGTTATTTGATACAACCACAACAATGGACATCAACTTCTTGTGTGAAGAGGCTTTTATTTTTAAAATGCCAACGAAAAATAAACAGAGAAGCCAGTCTACAGTCTTCCTCTCTTGATGGACAATACTAAAGCCAGATGCACCTCTGTCCAAAAACTTAAGACTTGCCAGCAAGTCATCACATGTTTATAAACTGGAAATATTTTTCATTATATTTGAAACTTCTAGTGGATGACATAATGAATAGTACTGTGACAGGAGAAAGGACACACTGTCCATTGGCAGGCATCTGGGCTATTTTACATAAAAAAGGAGGGGAGGGGGGAGAAATATCCCAGTATATTAAAGAAAATGCAGATTTCAAATTTTTACCCTCAGCATACAACAGCATATGACTTGGCTGTTGTTCCTTCAGCACATTCAGTGACATAACATCAGTACTAAAAAGTACGCTGTATACGAAAAAACCCTCCTGTGCTTGCAGGACACGAAAGTTGTCCTGAGCTTTCCTGCAGGAGCCATGAGGAATCAGGAGCAGTGCCTGAGACATTTTTGTATCGGCGGAGATATGTACACTCCTAGTGACCCTGCATACCAAGGCACAGCAGCCTGATTAGCAGCTCAGCATGGTTCAAGCCCACAATCTCTTCCAGAAGATGCTGTTCAGCTCCAGACAGTGATTTTTATTATCATCCGCGCCATTTCACAGCCAACAGACAAATGCAGCTATATGGCTGTTTTGGACCAACTACTGCCTTCATAGCCAGGGGCACTCGGGGAAACCCAGAAATACTCCGTTACTGTTTTCAGAAATACTACTCATTAGCTGTGTTTTAAATGAGAGTAGCAGTTAGGCCTTCATTTTTCATATGAAACGACATTTGTGGTTTTTTCCTGATTATGTAGTATTTGATGAAAAATACATACCAAAGAGCTCAAAAAAATCTCAATTTGCCCCTTGCTGTTCATAAGACAAACTATTTGTTCAGTCCACAAAACATGACTACTGCTGTAAAGCTTGTATGTAACCATTTCTATCTACCATTTCTGCTGGTACATAAAGACAGTGTCAGTGAGGTTAGGGTAGGTGTATCTGCACATACCTTCTGTCTGTAGGATACAACTCCACAGTAATGACATCTAGCGAGTTCCAGGCTGAAATGGTGAGGCCGTTGTAGAGGCAGAGCATACCTATCATCATGGATTCACTGGTCCCAAACCACAGGAAAAAACAGCTGATGCCAGAGAGAACCATGGAACCACCTGGGTGCGAGACAGGTGAAATGGACGTGAAGTGGAGCTGTATTAAAAAACGGTCTTTGTTTTGTCTAACGTTTCTATTCACACAGTGTAGCTAAATAACTGACCCATGTATTTGAATTAAAAATTAAAGACACCTCTTCTGCTGGTAAGACCACTCAGGCAGACAAATATTGTAAGGGGCTCATAGAAAACAAACATAACTCCTCAAATATTAAGATATATCATAAACTGTTAAGCTGGAACTGTCTCTGAACTCCCAAAGCAAGCTGCCCGGGGAAAATTACCTTTATTCTTCCTTATTAATCATCTTCTGCAATTACATGAAACTTGTTCATATATCATAACAATAAAAACACTTACTGGAAATTGCATTTATGTAGAGAAAAATTAACACAATGAACTACCACATAGTTATATAAGTAAATTGAAAACAGCTTTGATGTTGCAGATAATCCACAGGAGATATCTTTCAACTGTGTCACTTTGCAAAATGGAAAACAGACAAAGGACTGTTGACTCTTCTGAGGAGCTGCTCCACAGGCTGAGGGTCACCTGTGCACACCTCGCTTTCCTTTCAGCTGGAGCAAAGCCAAACCAAGCCAATGGTCAGCACTCTCCAAAATCTCATCCCAAATGCCTAAATAACCAATTTGTAATATCAGTGTTGGAAGAGCAATGACTGATAATCTGGCCTAGCAGAACTGGTTATAAAACCCTTTGTCCCCAGAGTTTCTGAATTGGGGTTTTTTTTAAAACAGCACTTCTGATGCTGCGTAAATGAATTACCTGCAGAAAGAATGTTTTGCGGCTCTCTGAACCAAGTCCTTTAAGAAAAGAACATGCTACTTTATCAGGAGAGCTTTAGGTTTTGGTGTTGTTCCTCATTTTAACGTGAAGACCCTACCTAGCATCGTTAACCGTCCAATTCTATCCATCAGGAGAGCGGACACAATATTCCCCGGTAACACTGCCAAAGTTCCGAGGAAATTAACAAAGTAAATCCAGTAGGCACTGTAGTCGTCATCGAAAGAAATCTGGCAGCCTGTCCTGATGTGGAAAAATGTGCAATTTATCAATTCACTGTCAACAAATTTATATTTCTCGAGATCTGTGGAAAGAAGAAAAAGAAACATTTCAGCTAACAGCTGACTCCATGTGCAGCTTTTGATTAAAAACATTTCAAGTTTAGGCAACTTTAATGACAACTCAGAGCTCTCACTCCTTCATATAATGGCACTAGTTATTGCTGTTAATTTTGATACTTTTTTATCTTAATAGAAAAATATGCAAAGCTCATGAAAAAGAGCAACTAAGGCCTGGAATTAAGCAAGTTATATTAATGTATTTCAGCTCTGATTGGACTGTATTTGGTTAAGGCCTTTCAGCACCAGCTCGTCTTGCATAAAAAGCACATAAAAACTTCTATCACTTGGTCTTGCTCGGTATCAGACCTTCTGCTTCCACACCAGACACTCTTT